AGCAACCTCCATAAATATCCATGAAACACATATGGTGACTTTAAAAGCTAGGAACAGAACCTGCCGAGAGAAGATCTGTATTCAGGGCAGCGGGTGCTGAGTTGACATCTGTATCAAACTAAGGAGCTCTGCAGTGTCTTACTATCTTTAATACACACACAACCCGCCCGCCCCCCCCCCACGCCCCCAGCAGTATGTCTCAAAAGAAAGGAAGCAAGAGGGGGCACTTTTGTAATCTAAACCTAAGTACATCCACTGATTTCAACAGGACTTCTAAATAACTGGGGAGACTTACTTCTAAGTAAGTGCAATTCAGCCTCTATTTGTTTTAATTTGTTTAGCAATTCCTTCCGAGCAAGACTTAAGTCTATTTAGGATCAGAGCCTCTTTTTTGTTTTTGTTTACTAAGAAGCAGATTCCCACTAAGCTGACTGGAACATTTCTAAGTAGGTTTGTTTAGGATTACAGCCTATATTTACTTGGAAATAAGCCCTCACCGTGCTCACTGGGGCTTGCACCCAGCTAACTTTGCATAAATATTACAGCCATGCAGCACAATTCTGTGCATAGCTACTCAGAAGTACTACTCAATACGGTTTACTCCTGAGTAAGTGAGCATGGGTATCAGTTTCATGGTTTCAATTCTATGCACACATACTATAAGGAAAACTATTCTCTTGGTCCTCACTTTTTCCTAAATATGGTATAGATATTTATTCTTCTTCAATACAGTGGTACCTCGGGTTACAGATACGTCAGGTTACAGACTCTGCTAACTCAGAAATAGTACCTCGGGTTAAGAACTTGGCTTGAGGATGAGAACAGAAATTGTGCCGCTGCGGCATGGCGGCAGCAGGAGGCCCCATTAGCTAAAGTGGTACCTCAGGTTAAGAACAGACCTCCAGAACGAATTAAGTTCTTAACCCGAGGTACCACTGTATTTCTGTTTCAGGGTCTGCTCCAATAACTCAGAGTTTCTCCAGTGTGATCCTTTTCTGCTGCCACCCATTCCTTTAGAATGCTTTCAGAACCCCTCCTCAGAAAATAGGGAGCTTCTATTGTACATCAGTAGAATGCCCCTGTTTCCTGAGGAGTGTTGGAGGGTATAATAGGCTTAGATGTGAGAACAACACCCAACATTGGAGATTTAATGAACTGTTAAATGTTTATTATAGAGATATTTTGTACATACAATATACTTAATGGCAGTTTCTAAGGACTCAAGAGTCACTGTCAGATTTTGGCTTAGCTCAGCACAGCAGCTAAAAGGACCAGAAAAGGGGGCGGGGGGACAAAGTGGTTGTGTCCAGCTGCAAGTAACAGCTGGAAGGGTGTGGCCTCTTGGATTATGGTCTCTGCTTCCTTGAGGAAGGTCTTCTGGTGAGAGATGGGCTGCACCTCACAGCGGTTGGCAAGGACGCCTTTGCTACGAGCCTTGTGAACAAGATCAGGAGAGCTTTAAACTAGTTCTTAGGGGCCGGGAGACAACATTACAAATGGCAAAAGAGCACCTGGTACTGGGGATAATGGCTTCATTGATGCACAGGAAAGTGAGGTGCTGCTCCAGAAACCTGCAAAGGGAAACTACAAGAAGGAAGCAGCTGAAGGGAGCAACTCATGGTTTCAGTTGTCTCTACAAAAATGCACAGAGTATGGGAAACAAGCAAGATGAATTGGAGCTTTTATACAGGATGGCTTGGTAGGCATTACTGAGACTGGGTGGGATAAGACTCATGACTAGAATGTAGGAATTGAGGGGTATAACCTGTTCAAAAGGAATAGACTAAACAGGAAGGGAGGAGGAGGACCTTTATATGTAAGGAATGTGTACACTTGTGAAGAAAACCATGACTTGGAGCATGGAAAGCAGATTGAGAGTATATGGATAAAAATTGTAGGAGAGAAACACAACAGGGACCTTACTGTGGGGGTCTGCTATAGACCGCCAAGCCAGACTGAAGACTTGGGTGATGCCTTACTCGAGCAGATTACCAACCATTCAAAAAGGAGAGATATAGTGGTCATGGGAGATTTCAACTTCCCTGATATCTGTTGTAACTCAAACTCTGCCAAGAAGGTAAAGGCCAACAAAATCTTCCGTTGCCTTCCTGACAATTTCTTTTCCCAGAAGTAGCAAGGGGATCCTCTATCTTGGGCCTGGTCCTCACCAGCTGGGAGGAACTGATCGACAAAGTGGAAGTACTCAGAATCTTGGGTTGCATGGCCATCTGTCCTGGATGCTTTAGCTGTGATTCCTGCATTGCAGGGGGTTGGACTAGATGACCCTTGAGGTCCCTTCCAACTCTACAGCTCTGTGATTCTGTGATTCTTCTGACATTAAAGCTGACCCCATCGTACTTCTGGGTGCCTGGACAGCATATCTTCCAACATTTCTCCGCCCAGCTGATTGGGTTGCCCCAGCCACTCTGGGCAGCTTCCAACATATATATAAAAACATAATAAAACATTTAAAAATGGCCCTATACAGGGCTGCCGTCCAATGTACAGTTACTTATGTCCTTGGCTTGGGTGTCACATAACTCCATACCCTCCAACGTTTCTCTGATGAAAATAGGGACATCCTAAGGAAAAGCGGGACATTCCGGGATCAAATCAGAAACTGGGATGTCTTCTGTAAATCCAGGACTGTCCCTGGAAAATAGGGACACTTAGAGGGTCTGGGACAGTTTAGCTGATATAAAAACCTGTATGTACAGGCAAGTATCGTTACCACACCAGCAAGGAATAGCTTTAATATTCAAGTTTCAGCTGTCCCTGGTTTTCTTCTGGGCTTGCCTCACACCTCTATCATCAGCTTTCCCAGCTGATTTTTCTTTTTCTTATGCCACTTACAATTAACTGCCCTTTCTTCCTAGAACCTCCAGCCAATCAGAGTCTGCTGTTCCCCTGGCGAATCAAAATGAATTTATCTAATCTAAGACCCATCTATAAATACTAAAAGCCATTGGCTTTCCCTCTCCCTTTCAGAACCTGTCACTACTAGTAAACAGGCTTGCAAACATAGTGATAGCACAAGGCCTTGAACCTCGACAGTTGCATTCTGATAGCATCAGAGGTCGCTGAAATCTTTTCCAGAGCGCAAAATGAAAACAGACTGTAATAAACATAGCGTTCCTCCACACATACCTAGGAGTCAGCTCCATTAAACTTAATGGAACTTCAGCGTAAATATAAACAGGTGCAGAATGAATGGCTGCAGTTCTAAGCATATTTATTTGGAAACAAGTCTCACTGAAACAACTTTCATTTGCTACAAATTAGTGCATGACTGTGGAACTCATGGGTCTCCTTGCCACAATGGCTTCTTGAAACAGTCCTGGGTTTAATTTTTGGAGATGGTCCTGTGGACCTCCAAATACTCACAAGTAAAATTCTTGCACAGCATCATAGCCAGAGAATGTCTTCAAAGGCACTCTTAGTTTTTCAGCAATATAGAGCATTGTTTAGAATCAATAGCCATGTTGATTCATGGAATTCTGAGGCAGTAGGGGGGATAACTCAGTTCACTGTCTTACAGTTCAGTATGTATGTTAGGTTCTTCTCTGATACAATAGCATCATTTTTTTGTGACAAAGCCAACCTTTTGGTGTGGCTCCCTCCACCCTAATTCAATACATAAGCTCAAGTCCTAACACAGCCATTCCTTCCCCACCCCTTTAAACATATTCATGTTTCTTGTATAAATGTACGATATCATCACTCTCTGATATTATAGTCCAAAATTCCTGATATGGGTGGGATACGGATGACAATCTGTCTGGCTTAGCCATCTCTTGGTTAATGCTAATGCAGAATTAGGAGTCAAGAGAGACAAAAGCCAGGGTGTGATTGTTGCACACTCAATGATTTTGCCCCGCTAGCTCTTCAAGCACAGAGGAAGATCAGCAGAGTAGCTGTGTGGGATGAGACGCCTGGAGGGCCAGGGATATGTATCACTCTAGGAGATCCAAAAACATCAAGGATGCAGCAACAGTCATGTTTAAACACTCCTCTTCCCAAGCTTTTAGATGAAGATGATGTGCACAGGCTGCTTCTCTACATGGTCAAAGTGGCTTACAGTGGATAACTATTTACACAAAACAAAACAAAAAACTTAAAAGAAAGCATACAACTAAACCCATGCAAAGCAACAGAAGATAGCACTATCTGGTGGCTTCGAACTCACCATAGATCAGCTTGTAGACCTTAACTAAGCCACAAGCCACCCAGAATGGGAGAAGCTTGCACCCCTTGAGGTTAAAATGGGCTAACCACATCTATCATGCCCCATGTTCCTTAGAATCATTGGGTTACATAACTGTAGAGTTAGGTCCTGAGGGTCATCTAGTCCAAGACCCTGGACCCTCAACTTGCATGTGATTTGACCTGCCAGCTTCCCTACCAAGTCCTCCACACTCACATTACAACTAAAATAAGGTGCAGGTGTCTATATTTTACAACAAAAGGAGAGCACAAGTGAGGGAATGCCAAGAAATGTGCTTGAAGTGATGGAGCAGCTAGGAGGTAGGGCAGAGATGTTTTTTGATGTTTTAAAGAAACAGCAATCCCCTTCCAACCCCCTTTTAAATATGTATGAAGAAGGTCTATGAAAAGTCACAGCAGTAAACAGACACGGCTTTCACAGGAGTAGCTGCAGTGGGATTATTGCACTTATCAACATGCAGAGTCAGACAGCTGACTTAAGCTTGGCAGGCACAGGTTAGCTCTGGTAGTGTGTGAACATAGAAAGCCCTCTTATATGGAGCCAGACCATTGGTCCGCTTAGCTCTGACTGGCAGTAGCTCTCGAGAGTGTCAGGCAGAGGACATTTCCAGTCATACCTGGAGATACTGGGGACTGAACCAAGGACTTTCTTCCTGCAAGGCACTGATGCTCTACCTCTGAGCTATGGCCCTTCCTTGGATTCATATGTTAAACTCATTCCATGTACAATAAGCAAATCAACCTGTGCAATTTAACCTCTGTTTTCCAATTGTTAGATAACCTGTTCAAGCCAAAAGAACGGTTCATTTCAGAGAAGGAGATGCACATGCGATCGAAAAGGTAGGGAGCATCTTCCATCCTGAAATAGATTATCTCCCTTCTGCTTGCAGCAATGAGGGATTATGAGTTCTCGAATTGATAGGGTGAGCTAATGAAGCAAGATCACACACCCCACGTTTTGTTTTATTCTGAGTAGCATAACAGTAGCACAATAAATTGTTGAGTTTGCAGCTGATGGAGATCAAAAGGCTCTGGAATGAGACTCTTGCAGTTTCTGGGATATTGCCTGGCAACAGGCAAGTTGTCTAGTTTGCCTTTTGGTGAGCAGGCCCTTCATATTGATCTAGTGCTTTCTGCAGAAATAGTTGGAAAGTTGCTGCAGCTGTTTCGGATTCTAACCCCATGTTATTGACAAATGCATTGTCGAGTGAATTCCATGCACTGCATTAATGTGGAAATATCTTTCACGGAAGGTTTTTTTTAAACAAAGAATTAAAAAAATGTGTGTACTGAAAACTATACAGGGGAATATACTGGTACTGCAATGGGTTCTCCCAGTAGGGATGCCAACAGCACTTTCTGGGCATGGTACAATGTCTGTGGATCGGGTCCCAGCAACACCACTACCCCGCTTAACCTTGCCCCAGCCACTCTGGGCAGCTCCCAACAAAATATTAAAAAAACAATAAAGCATCAAACATTGAGAACTTCCCTGTACAGGTAGTGATGACAACCAACTTGGCTTTAAAAGAGAGTAAGACAAATTCATGGAAGACTTGTCACTTGAAACTGTAGGCAGCAGAGAGTGCTATTGCACACAGAACCTACTTGCAGGCTTCTCACAGGCATCTGATTGGCCATTGTGAGAACAGGAAGCTATTCGCCATTGGCTTGGTCCAACAGGGCTTTTCTTGTGCAATGTCATTCACAGATCATCTAAAGAAAGCCAGAAAAGCAGCCTCCTTGCTTTAACTGCAGTGTTTCATAGTGCTGACATTTACAGTACAGCAAAATATCCAAACAAACATACAAAAAGTTTGCCAACCTTGATAATTAAAAACAAGCAAAAAATAACTCTTGTGTATGTGCAGTTTCACAACATTGATGTGTGAGCTACCGAGTCACAACCTAGCCTGCATCACAGAGCTGATGTGAAGATAAAAGGAGGAAGGGGAAGACAAATTGTACACAGCCTTGAGCTCCTGGGGGGAAGTCTAGGTGCAAATATACAACAAATATGTGCATCTTCACAATTCTATTCAAAACATATATACACAAAATCATTTTACCAGCCTTGATTTTTTTAAAAAAATAATCCTTGTGTCCCAGGTGGGAAGGGTCAACATTCCATCCTCTGATTGCTTAGCAACAGTATTTTAAGTGCCTTAACAATTGTGCTGCCTGCTGAGTGCAGAAGCTTTAATGCTGCCTTCATGTTTTGTGCTCTAACTTACTTCAGAAGTCTCTGGTTGACTAACTTTTTTATTTAAAGAAAGCTAAAAGTCTTTGGTCCCTGATGGCTTCTAAACCCCTAAAATCTGTTCCTTAGTGCCCATTTGTCACTGGCCCTGGGTTCTTGGAGTGCTGCACTTTTTCCCGTATGAGTGAATGGCAGATTTTCATACAGTTGGAAAAGCAAAGATGCACATTCAGAGGCACAAATCTAAACTTTCTCCAAGTGTCTTGCATGTTGGTTGCAGTCAGTTTCCTTTTTATTTTTCAAAACTTAGTGGGGACCATTAAGAATCCAGCTTGCTTCTGTCGACATAACTGTGGCTATGTTTCTTGGTCACGCTAGAGTTTTATGGATCCTAGGAAACTGCACATTTGCTTTTGTATCTATATATAATTAGAGAGTTTGTGTCTAAAAAATCCAATAGCACGTTCCAGCACTTTACAATATTTCTTTTTATCTTTACAACAACCCGGTGAGATATGTTATGCTGACAAATTGTGACTTTCTTAAGGAAGCTCGGGGCAAATTAGACATGAAGCTAAATGCTTAATTAAAAATCACATCTGCACAAAGGGAAATCACACAACCCTCCCCCCCCCAGGACCATGAGCCTTGGAAAAATCTACAATGGAAGGGGTTTTTTTCTGTATACTTATTGCCATGGGGTGTATATATCAGAATTTCAGATGGGGACACAAGGGTTACACCTCCTTTTCCTATGCACTGCAGTCCTAAAAGCATGCCTGCTTTTAATTGTAAAAAAAATTCATTGACATGGTTTCTAACAACACATTTAGCACTACATCTCGTTTGGCTCTCAGAAAGTTTCATGAGTGAGCAGGGATTTCAGCTCAGCCTGGGTTCTCCACACCCAAACACTATTGCAATCCAAAGTTATCCTTCCAAAATGCAGTGGAAGAAATACTGGAAGGCCTTAGGCAAATGAAGGATACTTAGGAGAAATGAGTCTCCGCAGCTGCAGAGCATTGCCAGGGGGCTTCTACTGTTACTTCCATAGCTATATATGTGCCCTTTCAAGGGCTTCACAGATTGCTCCCAGTGACATTTATCTTGATCTGCACAGATGGATTAGGGTAATCTAACACCGTACATTTATCACATCAAGTTAAGAAATAGTCTTTAAAACTAACATTTTATTCATGGCATTATATCATGAATCCATGAATTATATGAGCAATACAATTCCAGTACCTTGTCATATGCAATTGTGCAAGGAGTCATGTCCCAGTGGCTAGCCATTCTAAATTCCCCGGCCAACCACATTGCAGGGCAAGATAGCCTGCCAAATCAAAAGTTCAATTGCCAAATCATGGGCACTGAATGAACAGAGCCTGATCCACCTACTGAGGATAAAAGCTGACTGCGTCTAGAGTTTGCAGTCCATCAGCCGAAGAGCAATCCCTCCCTCCCTCCAGGCTGCTTTGTGTTAATTTTGTCTTAACCATATTTTCCTTCCTGTGTACTCTGTGATGGACTTTGCTATGGTTTCCCAATGGTTGCCGTATTCGGTGCTGGGAAGCAATTTGCCTGCAAACAGATTGGGCCCGTTGGGAGTTTCTACCTTTCTCATAGCAAAATGTCACAACTTTGGGTGGGTAAGGCATTGGGTGGCATCGTAATCATCAAGGTTTGGATGAAGTGGTACATCACCCCGACCTAAGAAGGGTCTATGTGGAAGTTTCTGTCCAGTAACCAAGTGTAGGGCAGGCTGGCCACGGAGCTTCCAGTGGTGACCTGGGGAAAGCCACCTTGGTAGATTAGCATATTTTGGGAGGCCACAATTCTTGGCACAACGCTGTTCAAAACTTCAGCCCTTCAACAGGAGACTGAAATGGATATACATCCAATGCCTGAGCCAAAGTCTACCTACATCTGTAATCAATAAAGTTGTGGCCAATGATGATCTCAGATCATGATCCTCAGATCAGATCATTACTCCATACCTATTGCCTTCATACTGGGATTCTGTGACTAGGCCCACAATAAGGATGTACTTAAAAGCCTGCACACCTTAGAGCTCGGATGGAGAATCTGTGGCTCTCCAGATGTTGTTGAATTATCCTTGGCTATTGATCATGTTAATGGAAGATGGAGTGAAACATCATCTGAAGGGGCACAGGTTACCCTGCCCCTGCCTGCTTCCCATACACCATTCCTTTCTTTCAAAGGCTCAGAAAACACCTTTTTGACACTTAGCATATTTTTAATATGTTCCAGGATTTATAATAATCTGCCTGAAGTGAAGAAGAAACAAGAAGAGAAACAGAAACGGGTAATCATACAGAGCAACAGACTGCGTGTTGAAGTGTTCAAAAAGGTAATGATTCTCCAGTGAAGTGAACACAAATACTCATTGATGCAGAGTTTCTTTCTCCATTCTGTCATCCCAAAATCGCATACCTGTTGTACACCTTCAGTACCACCCTGTAGAGCAAGGGTGGCTAGTCTGTGACCCTCCATTTGTTGTTGGACTTCAATTTCAAACAGCCCCCAGAAGCACCACCAATAGTCAGAGATGGTAGGAGTCTAGGAACATCAGAAGGGTCACAGGTTAGCCACCTCTGCAGTAGGAAACCCAGTATTCCCATATTTTAAAATCCTGTTGCAAGTTTTCAAAGCGTTGTGATAGCAGTAGTGCTGCTTTGCCTGGCGATGTATCTATATGTGTGTGTGTGTGTGTGTGTGTGTGTGTGTGTAATGCATTTGTGCGGATAGATGTACAGTATTGGACTGAATATAAGCCTCACTTTTCCACCAAATTCCAACCGTGAAAAGTTAAAGTGCAGCTTAAATTCACAACCTTACAAAAATTGGCTTTTACGACAACGCTGCTGAAACAGACATAGGGTAAAACAGAACGGGTATGAGTGCCTGAGGAATTTTAAGGGAACGGCTAATATTCAGGAATTGTCTTTTTTTCTCCCCCCTCCCCCCCGAATTTTAAAGGTGCGGCTTATATTTGGGTGTGGCTTATTTTGGGGTCAATACGGTATCTATTGGTGCACCCCAGATTTTTTTTCCATGTGTTGGTAAACAGTACTGTTTTGCTCACCCCAGTTTATGAGAAACTTCAGGGATGCCAACACATACATCAAGAGTCGGTTTCCTTGGAATGAAGGTCACCAGAGAAAGTGGTGTCTTTGGGATATATGGCTTTATTTACACATATATGCAGGTTAAGCATAGTATGAAAGGCCTCACAGCGTTAATACTGAAACAGATATTGCTCCCACCTGATGTTTCTAGAGTGGGGTTCAAAGGCCAAGGCTTTGGATGCAGCACAGAAAGCAAGTCGTGCCTCTGTGTCTTCCCAGATGAGACTGGCTCAGTTCTGTTGTTCTCTTAACAGTCACTGATGACATCACTTCCAAGTCTAGGAGTAGGAGATGGAAGGCATGGCGTTGTAACTTAAAGGCTGCTTTTATTTTTGTTTTATTGTAGCAATTGCTGGATCAGCTTCTTCAAAGAAATACCGAGTGACTAAAGATTCCTGGACACGTCATTTCTTCTTGGACCTCGAATGCCTTCGATGATTATAAAGCCATAAAAACTTGATGCGATCTTCACGACTTGGAGACTTTATTCATTTTAAATCTACAAAGACTATAGTTTGATTTGAATTTTTTTAAAAAGGAATATTCAAAGTAATTCTGGCAGGGGGGCTGGATTATATTCTGGTGGTCATGACACATGGAAATACAGCTTTAAAAATGGTTTTATGCACTTGTTGTTGCAGCAATGCAGCATTTAATTTGTACTTTTAAATTATAAAGCCAGCTTTTCATTCATAGATGAGAATCATATATTGTCACTACAAATACATGGTTTCCATGTACTCCACTTAGTGATTGCTTTGAAGTCTAAAACTAGCTCTTTTGAATGTAAGGAAAAGTGAATATTTTTGCTGTGCTATTTAGCTAAAATAGCATTGCTGCCTAACCACCTGAACTACAGCATTAAATGAATGCTTAACATAGTATCAAGACCGATATTTTAATCAACCACATTTTTGTTTATATAGTGAAGCCAAATAAGGGGGTTACCTGTTAAAAACCAGTCTTTGGGACCTAACTATTAATTCTTCTTTTGAAACATGCTCTTTGCTAAACCATATAATTTTGCCTGGTTTCATGTATTTTTAAAATGGCACAAACCCGGTCAGTGGTTCTGACCAAGAAAAATGCTTGTGGAAAGGGTGCACATTTTTAAATATCTGTATTGTTTCCTCCAAAAATACTTAAAATTGTCATTTGTGCATTCAGAAATAAAGCAAATTAAGCTTTGTACAAAGAAGGAATAAAGCGTAAGTAAGAAAAATTGTCCAGATTCTGTCAGTTTTATTGGGTAGTGTTAATTTTCAAAGCTATGATTACAGAGCATCATGCAGTTCATACCCTTATGACTGTCAGAGAATACCGCCATGGATTGTGTTTCCATGCTTGCTTCTGTGTACCAATTCCAATTTCACTTTAATAATGTGATGGATACTATGTGGAAAATGCTACACGCTGCTTCTTTCACAGCAGATGAAACTGGCTGCGAATAATCCACACCTGGCCCTTCCTTGATCTGTACATTCATGAGAGTTCAGTAACAGCTAACTAGGTGGGCATTTCAGGAAACAGGGAATTTGGTGGTGGTGGTAGTCCGTCCGTCCCCCCCCCCGTTAAATATCACATTTGTTCATTTGTTGTTTATGGGTCCCAATCTTTAGCTCAGGCATAGGCAAACTCTGGCCTCCAGATGTTTGGGACTACAATTCCCATCATCCCTGACCACTGGTCCTGTTAGCTAAGTATGATGGGAATTGTAGTCCCAAACATCTGGAGGGCCGGAGTTTGCCTATGCCTGCTGTAGGTTGTATCTGTGTGTTTTTAAATATTCTGATCCATTTCTCTGTGTTCTCTCCTCTTTGAACGATTCCCAGGCCTTTCCCCCCCCAGCTAGAACTTACTGGAACTCAGTTCCGGCAACTCTCAGGTGGGCACCATTGCCATTATAAGAGAACAAGGGAGGCATTCATGGTGAGTTCTGGCACCTCTTTTTCTAGAAAATGGCGTTGATGAGGTTCTCAGGTCACCTGTATAAAATGAACTGTTGTGGTTCCCCATTTACTATAATGGGGAAATCTAAAAATAGCTATAACATGCTTTTTGCCAAAGTGGATGAAATTTGCAGGCACAGAACCCCTCCAGAGTAGATTAAGTCTTCCAAATTGTAGGCAAATAGGACCAGGAGCTTTTTGTGAATGAAAGTAAAAAGGATTAACTTTTATTATGATGGTGGAGAGTGGTAGATTGTCTTTGCTTCTCTTCATACCCTAAAATAATTAAGAGGTAGCTGAGTGGGGTATACTCTTGCCTGTACATTTTTTAAAAACTTTGCAGCATCACCTGCCTTTTCTTAGAAGCTTCAAACAGGACTTAGATGAGGCTTTCTATCATCTTTCTACATAATTCTGAAGGGCTCTGGGTTTTGTTTTGTTAAAGCAGAGCAACGTAATTTTTTTATATATAAAACTGAAATGAAGATTTTAACTTAAAAAATAATAGCCCTCCACTGCTGTGCTTTTAACAACAACAATCTGTTCTGCGGGCCATATTTTGGAAAGCTTCACTTCTTGCAGAGTCCATGGAAAGTTCCTCAGCATTTGAAAAATGCAGGGTAGGTGAGTTACTGACACACACTGAAGTATGATAGGTAGGAAGGAGGCAGCCTTGACTTACATGCCTTAAGGGTTTTATACCATAGAGTCATGACTTCTAATTAATTTCTGCCTCAGGGTTTCAGAAAGCCCCTGCAGACCCTGGAACACCAGTTTCTGGTGTTCTCCCCTTTCATTCAGTGAACCACTTTCCTGTTTAGAGTGCATCACTGTACATTTAAGGCTGAACAAGCAGGAATTAAAGGCTGAAGCCCTTATGGTATAGATTCCATGCTGTACCAATGTGCAGAGTTTTTGAAGGGAAGCACACACCATCCATGCAATCCCATCTTTCTTCAAAAAGGAGCAGACGGACAAACACAAAATATACAATGTTGCAATCATGCACAGAATATTTGCATGAAGCAGTGTAGGAGAGTTGGAAGTTTGACTTCCATTCAGTTGCTATGTCTCATTGTGTATTCATACTAAAGAACAGATCATGGAAATTTCCAGGTTCAGAAGGTGACAGTTTCTTACGAGATGAATTTGGTGAAAGTGTATTTGGCACAGTTGCAATGTGCAGTGAAGGGTCTACAAAAATCCCAAGACTGTGCCTTCGGGGAAGCTGAACTCTGCCAGTGGCAGATCCCCAACAAAGTTATAAAATGTATGCTTGACCACATTTTGATCTGAATTCAGTATCTTGGCTTTAACTGCTGCCATATATTACACAGTAATTAGGAGTACATAGTTTGACAAGGAAGTAATATGTGCATGCAATTAGCAGTGCCCCTTATAAAAACTAGCTATGAAACAAGCCCAGCATTCCTATGCAATTCGATTTTCTTCCTGAAAATCACACAATATCTTTGTAAACCAGTACGCCGGGGACCAGTTGGAGGAGGACCAAGCTAATGTCAATAAGCTTTTCTTGTAGCTGCAGAAGCTACCATCTCGGCTGGCGCTTGTTTCATGGACAGTACTCATATTCTCCTCCTTCTCTATGGAAGATTTTTTAAACTACCCTTGCCAACCATTGACCTCAACCTATTCTGGAGGATGAAGCCTTATTCATTGTACTGACATTTGAAATGGGATAGCATTTTGAGAACTGCTTTGAATTCATTCATAAATGCTTTTTGACATTTAAAGTTTATTCATCATCTTTGCTTCATTTAGGTCCCTTTATGTTTACCCCCAAAAGTAATTTCCCAAGTGTAAGGACAAAATACATGACAATTTCACATGAAAAGCCTATCTCATAATAAGTTTGGAATATTGTTATCTATGGCAAGGTTAGTGGAAACAATAGATAGGGTATGAATACCTGTTTGGTGTGTGGGAGAACATTCTGTAAAATACCTAATTTGTCCTTTGGGGGGTGGGGAGAGTGTCTCTTATTATTGACACTTATTCCATTGCTTAGTGTAATGTGGGCGGGGGAAGCTGGTTCTTCATAAAAGCTTTGAACACCTGTGCATTTTTTAGATTCTTTGTGGCTAATCATTGTTTCAGTAAAACTTTGAAACAGAGACTAAGGGACATTCAATTGCATGTTGTTTTTGTTGGAGCTTCAGAGTAAGGGAAAGCTGTTCACAAAAATAGTATTGTAAAATGTTAAATTCCATTAATCTTGCTACTGAGCTCGCATATTAATATTATTCTGAGGTCCACAAAGACAGACAATAAAGAAAGAAAACCATTCCCACTTAAGAGTGTGGTTTGGCTAAGGTCAATAGACCTGATGTTGCTGGAGCAATTGGCAAAGGGTTTATATATATAAAACAGGGAGAGCTCTGGTAGATCACACTAAAAGTCTCATCTGTGTTCTGTTCCCAAAGTTGTCGACCCAATTCCCAAGGAAAGCCCACAAGGACCTAAGTGAAATGGCATTTTGCTGCTCACCTTCCTCAACAACTGGTATTCAGAAGCATGTTGTTTCTCCTGGAGCTTATATAAAGCCGTCATTCCTACTAGCCATTGATAACCTTATCCTCCACAAATCTGTCTAATCCCATTTTTAAAGTTGTTTACCGGTAATTTGGTGGCCATCACGAGTAGCAGCTTGGGCTTGGTGGAAGAGAAGGTAGGATGGCAAATGGTAGGCGGAGCCAAGGGTCCTGACAGATGGAGCTAATAGTAGGCGGAGCCACTTCCCCCCATTTTTTCCTAGTATCTTTTAACACAGCCTGGCATGCAGGAATTAAATATATGAAGCAATTCATGGCATGGCTATGTGGGGAAAACTTGTAGCCTGAGCTTCTGCTGTGTGCTTAGCAGCAAATCCCACTGTGACCAAGAAGATTTACTTCTTATTAGAAAATAAGATTGCAACCTACATTGCCTGTTTTTGCTTTTGTTTTGTTTTTTGTTGGCATATTAGGCTGCTAAACTCACAGGAGTAGACTGCTGCCATCCTGCAGTCTTCAAAGACGCATTTTATATCCCAGCAAGAGCTATATCCTAAGGGCCCTGAGATTCCATCCAAGGGTTCTATTTTGTTTCCATGTTCCTTGTAAAATCAATACCATTTAGCAATCCACTTGGTTTTGGAATTTCTTTCTTTCTTTCTTTCTTTCTTTCTTTCTTTCTTTCTTTCTTTCTTTCTTTCTTTCGAAGCATGGATAACAAATCGAAGCATTTCTCTTTCCCTAACTGGGTTTGGCGTTTTACCAAAGCTGTAGGAGGCAGAATTGCTCAATATCCATTTTCAATGACCTACAGAGTCAGATAACGAGGAGTATCATCTGCCTACCAGATGCAAAATGACATGAAGAAAAAAATGTGCAGATGTGTTATTTGTACAAACGACAACATAAACAGCTCTAAATAGAACTGGTCTAAGGTTAAGAAGTAGGGAAGTGGAATAAATGACTAAGGAAAATGGTTCCATTTCCCTAATAACAACCAAAAATAAATAAATGCTAATTTGCTAATGACAGTTCTACATCTGTCTGAATCTGGGCTTGTTTTTACATAGAATTGGAATATGTCTGACATTTCCTACCAACATCTTGAAGGGCACAGGTTCCTCATCCCTCTTCTAGACACTCCAATACAGAATGGCAAACTATCTAATGAACTCTTGCCATGTATAATTGCTAGCATCATATGTGGTTATTTTGGTAAAATACACAGTGCATTTTAAGAAATACATTATAAAATGAGAAAGTGTAGTTTTCTATATATATCTCCTAGTTGATCTTTCTGTCCCTGCCTCTTTAGTTAAATGAAATAGATGAAATGGGTGTGTTGAATCCTGTAGTTTGTTTTCTGGAAGTGGGTGAAGTGCCTCACTCCCTTTCCCTCCAATGGGTGCATTATCTCAGGATACCCCAGTAAAGGGGTCTGGCTGGAAGTTCTTTTCTGAAGCCTAGAGGAGAGGAGATGGGCCAAAGAACTTCCAGATGGTGGCCTGGGGGGCCAGCTTAGCTGACCCACGTCTTGAGGTGTCAGGGACTGGACTGAACAGGAGGAATGAGAAACGAGCCCTCCGTCTGATTGGCTCCTCTCAGAAGAGGAGGGGGAGGGGGAAGTTTCTTCAGCAGTTTCAGGAGCAGAGGGAGACAGGGCTGATGTACAGCTGAATGAGGAAATCCCTAGCTATGAGATAGTAGAGGATGAGGGAAGGGGAAGTTAGAGAGCAGACAGCAGAGACTTTCCTGGAGAGTA